AGCCCGTCATTAAGTCTGTAGCCACTTAAAATACTTGTTACTTCACCCAAGCTAAGTTATAAACACAACAAAATTGGAGCCCTGTGTCAGTGCTTGTGTAAACCAGAAGAAATGGRAGGTTTCTTTTGAATATGCCAAATATTTTCATGCTACATGTTTTATGTAGTGCTGATATGCAATCTAAGCATGTTAAAAGTTTCTTAGACTATTTTACCTGCTATCAGAATCTGAGGCAATTTCTTTTCTTCCTCCAAACCGTATCTGACACTGAAATAAATAGATACATTTTTGTTATACTAAGGAACTGAACATTCTGAGATTTTTCCATTTAAGAACAAAACAAGAAGTCATAACAAAAAGAAAAAAAGGAAGTGGTACAAAACAGAGCAGTGGCAAATATAGCCTGCAGCCCAGAAGTGCTTTTTAGCATCATGTTCCACAATCAGACTACTCTTGCAGCTCAAATATATTCTTGCTAGCCAAAATAATATATCTTATGGCCACTTAGAATGAAAGAAAAACAAACAAAAAGAGAGTAAAAGTTACAACTTTTAAAGCTTTAAATGTGTGTCCACAAAAATAAACATTGCTCCTACTAACCTCTTACAGAAGAACCATCATCTATACAATAAAAACAGCTAACGGACTTTGGAGGCTTTCTTTTACCTCTCAACCTCTCCCCKAAGTTCAACCAAATTTATGAAATTCCACTTGCCAAGCTTCATGTCAATACAAAAAACATCCTTCCCACCTTTATCGGGATTTCTCACCTGCTTAACTGCATCCAGCAAGCGTTCCAGAAGAAACTGTCTTTTAGTGTCATTGCTCTGTGAACCTAAAATTCAACATAATTCTGTTACTTATAAATAAGCAGTATTAAAAAAAAAAAAAAAAGCTGGAGTCAACATGCAGACCCTGAAAAACTTTCTTGATGTGTCAGTTATTCAATTAAATTTATTAATGCATTGCCTCTGAGTAAAATGAAGCATTGTTAAGACTTTATTTTGCATTTTCACATAGACTAACGTGCAGTAACACTGTTTGAAAGTCTGATTTTAGTAAGATTGTGGTTTCCTGGTCTTCACGATACAGCGCAGCAACAGCAACGCCAGTAGCAGCTGTGCACAAACACACAGGTYGCTCCTCGCCTGCTGGCAAAGCCACCTCTGCCAGGCTGGGAAAGAGACAGCAAAAATATCATCCCATTATTGTCAAACAACAAATATCTTATTATTGTCAAAAGACACTGCACATTAAGTGGAGAGCAATAGTTGCAATAAAGCCCTTAAATTTTAACTACCAGCACAGTCTTCTTCCAGATTAATAGCTATAAAATCAAGTTTGCTACAGTATAACCAACTGTGCAAGACACTGTTTAACTTCCCAACCATTTCAACAGCAGGCTTGTGTGAACACCTCTTACAGACATCTGTGTTATCAGTTTACAACTACTGGTTAATKAGACTGTGTCACCTCTACGAATTATTTATTCTGAGCTTAGGTGCATAAGAGCCTTCAAACACCTCTCTGTCTTTCCCAAAGTTGAAGTCGTTCTGCTCCTCCTTCCTCTCACAGGACATCGCAGCACCTCAAAGCCMAGTATCCAAATCCTGCAGGAGCAGGTTTCCGCACAGAAACAGATTCCTAAACCTCTAGCAACACATCACTTAACTCTAAAATAAGGAAGACACCTCATTCAATCCAAACCTTTAGTACAACCCTCCRTAAACAGCAACATCAAATGTACACAAACCTGATGAAATTCTGTACAGCCTCATGCTATCCAGGCCCCTGGGAGACTGAGGCATTACGCAGCATTTCTTTTTTACATCAACACTTTGAAGCTACTTTGGGAAAAAAAGCACGTAAATAATTTCACAAGCTGAAAAACATCAAACTAACGAAAACACAGAGCATGTGGGTCAGGTTTGCCTTCCAAACGCAGTACAGGTTAGTTTATAAAATTCCCATCTCTGATACCTCTGGATCTAATAAATCAATAAGTGTTTTACGAATAGATACCAGAGAGTGAAATAAATAAATAAACAAATCCTACAGAAGAGRACCATCACTATACTAATTAATATTCTGAAAGATTTAGGCATTTGATATCAAACACGTATTGGGGCAGTAACAAGTATTAGGACTTCATTGTACTTGAAGTCCTAATAACAATTAGGACTGTGTATGACTACAACCAGTAATTTCCATAACCAGCTCATCTTCACAATTAAGAGCATT